GGCCCAGTCTGCAGCCAGGGAGGCGCCTCCCCTCTTGTTTTTGTAGCCCCCCCCCCGCTGGCGGCACCTCACACCTGCGCTACAGCTGTTTACTTGAAAATAAATGAGTAATACAAAACAACCTTTGTCTTATTACTTTCTTAAAAGTTTTAAAAGAAACAGAGATGGGCAGGGAAACTGGGCAAGCACGTCGAGACACCTGCTGATGAAGGGGGTTTTTTTTGCCCATGCTGGCTGCTGGCCGGCTATGCGGCCCGGGGAGGGTGGGAAGGGACTTCCTCAGGGCTGGGCCGCATTCAGCTGAAGCCGAGCTGCCCTCCAGCACCGGGGGCTCAGCACCTCTTGGCACAAATCCAGACAGGAAATTTACATCTCTGAGAACAACTGACCTTATGGGTGCTCCTTGATAAACTTGCCCACCAGCTGAAATCATAGAATCATAGAGTTGGAAGGGGCCTACGGGGTCATCCAGTCTAATCCCCTGCACATTGCAGGAAATTCACAACTACAGAGGTTAAAACCCACCCACCCCCACTCCCAGTGACCCCTGCTCCATGCCCAGAAGATGGCAAAAGAAAACCTCCAGGGTCGCTGGCCAAGCTGGCCTGGAGAAAAGTTGCTTCCTGACCCCAAAGTGGCGATCAGCATTTCACCGGGCGTGTAAGAAAGGGCCACAAGAACTAAGCACTGAGGCAACCCTTCCTGCCCTCCCTCTAATGATCTGCCTAAATTCACAGAATTTGCATTGCTGACAGATGGCCATCTAGCCTTTCCTTAAAAACCTCCCAAGAAGGAGAGCCCACCACCCCCTCCCGAGGAAGCCTGTTCCACTGAGGAACCGCCCTCATCTGTCAGGAAGTTCTGCCAGATGTTTAGCCAAAAGCTCTTTTGATTTAATTTCAGCCCGTTGGTTCTGGTCCGACCTTCTGGGGCAGAGACCCTTGGAGTAAAGCACAGGTATTCAAAGCTACTGGCAACCCCAGGCAAGCAGTTTGCAAGAGCTTTTCACCTGCCAGATCTACCAGCAAATATACCGGAAGGCTCGTGGGGAAATGGCTTTAAAACCCCTAGCGCTTTAACAAAAGACGAGAACGCAGCCAACAGGGGTTCTGGTCTTTGGCACGCCAGGGAAGAGTCCCGTGGCCAATGGCAGGGCTTACCATTTTAATTTCCCAGTTCGCAAGACAAAATCACTTTGTATCTTTTTTTCTTTCTTCTTTTCCTTTCCGCACATACCACTGCCAAGACAAGTCTCCCCCATCCTATAATTATGCATTTGATTTTTCCTACCTAAAGGCTGCACTTCACATTTATCTCCGGTAAAATTCATTTTATTTGTTTTAGCCCAGTTTTCCACTCTGTCAAAATCATCCTGTATCCTGACTCTGTCTTCTACCATATTTGCTACCCCTCCCAATTTAAGATCATCTTCAAATTTAATAAGCATTCCCTCTGTTCCTTCATCCATTTTGTTGAACAAAACAGGTCCCAGGACAGATCTCTGAGGCACTCCACTTGTCACTCCTCTCCAAGAGGATAAGAAACCATTAACGAGCACTCTTTGGGTGCAATCTGTCAACCAGTTAACTGTAATAGGATCCAAACCACATTTTACCAACTTGTCAACATGAATATTATGTAGAACCGTATCAAAAGCCTTACTGAAATCAAGATAAAATATATCTACAGCATTCCCGATCCAGCAAGGTAGTAAATTTCTCGAAATAAGAGATAAGGTTCATCTGACATGACTTGTTCTTGAGAAACCCATGCTGGCTCTTAGTAATCACAGCCATCCTTTCTAAACGCTAAAGGACTGGTCGATGAGTTGTTCTTAAATGTTTTTTGAAAAACCTCACACACCCCAGAGAAGGCAAAAATCCTCTTAGACATTATCATTTTCCTCCACCCTGAGTTTGACCATATGTCAGGTATGCTTAAAAACCCAAAACCCACAGCTGCATGTACCTAAATAGCATGGGGTGCAGCAGTCCACAGCTCTCACTATTGATATACTGGGCATATTTGCAGTTTCACTGATAGAAAACTGTTACGCTTTTAAATTTCATAAATAAGCCAACTAGATTGCATATCAAAGTTATAACTGATGTATCGTATGTTGTTAAAGCAGAAAAATAAGGCTAGGGTTGGTAAGGAATTCGTATTCCCCATATCCCCCCCCCCCCCGGCCTGTTCTGTTCTTTCCCATGGCTTCAAAATTTTCACAAGTTTTACATCTCTAGACATCTCCTGTCCCAGGGATCTTACACCTAAATTTCAACAATGGAAAAGACTCTGGGATAACAAAGGAAGAACGCTTCTATGCAGTTAACAACCTTTTCCCTTCCTCTCCCTCCCCTGGGCCACACACAGAGAGAGGATCCTCTCCCTCCCACAGGCTGCTGGGACTTTTCAAACCCGGTCTCAGGAAAGTGAAAGAGCCCATATATACTCACGGGTGTGCCAGGGGCCTGGGCGGAGGCTGGCTGCTGCTGAGGAGGCTGTGGCGTGGGCACAGAGGGGGGCTGCACTGGCGTCTGAGGCTGCGGCGTGACTTGAGTCTGGGCAGCTGCTTGCCCAGAAGGTGTGCTTTGCATCTGAGTGGCATTTGGGACGGAGCCTGCGACGGGGGTGGGGGCTTGTCCTGAAGCAGGGACTGGTGTGGCTGGCTGGGCAGGCACTGCTGGCTGCGGAGGGGTCTGGTGCTGAACGGATGGCACGCTCACCAATGGAGGCACAGGCTGATGGAGGGGCAGCTGGGTCGCCGGAGGACACGAGAGCTGGCCACTCTGTGGTCCTAGCGTAGCCACAGAGTTAGGAAGAGCTGCGCCAGGAACTTGTCCCTGCTAGGAGGAAAGGGCGGCAAACACAGCAGTCAGCAAGCCGTCAGACCCGTCTACACAGACAAGAGCAGAGTCACTGCAGCACAGGAGTCCCCCCCCCCCCAGGGCTGCGCAGTCGAATGGATATGTCAGGCGCCTTACTGGACTGGCCATCTCTGCTGCTTCCGCTGTCATCTCTCCAGCACGGCTGCCCTCCCCTCCCAGTAATACTGAAATCAGGAATCCTGCTGGGGATGCAGGAGGGAGGAGGGAGAGCTCTACTGCTCCTTGGCTTCCTCTATGGGAGACAAGCGGGACTCTGAGCACTGGAGGCCAGTCTGCCCCCTTGGGAACAATGGCCCTTTACAGAACCCACGCACCACCAGCCAGCTCTGGAACACTGGGGGGCGGGGGGGGGAATGGGAAGCAGACCTGACCTCCGCTCTACCACCAACATGTGGGTATTAGGAAATGGCCCTGGACTCACCTGTCAGATGAGAGCCCACCTTTGATCTTGCAGCCATTAATGGCCCCAGGTCTGTGTTCCTTTCTGCCCCTTTACAAGCCTGCCTGGAGAACAGCGGGCAGATGGGGAGGGGGTGGGCTGCAGCTGCACAACCAAGCCTTCTGGGAGTCTGAGCAGCCCACCAGGCATCGCTGTGGCCTGCCCCCCCCCCAGCCTCCCACTGTCCCGAGGGCATGAAGGAACGCTGCCCCATAACTGTTGGTGGGGACTTGTGCTGCCCGGAAGCCACTGGCGGGGCCGTGAATGACCAGAGGCTGAAGGTGGGCTCTTGCCCAACAGGGGCCCGGTGGCAGTTTTGGACATTCTCCTGGGGGTGGTAGACCTGACAAAGACCAGGTATGCAGCTCATAGGAAATAATGGGTGGTAGCCCTGGTCTCTGACAATGGCCCATATTTTTCCAGCGCTCAACAGCGGAATGGTGGTGCATGGGCCATATGAAGGGCCTTCACTTCCCAGGGCGCCGATCTGGCCTCCAGAATCCAGAGGCTAGGTCTCCCCCATGGGGAATAATGGCTGGCGCCTTCCTTTCTCTCCCCTTTTTAATTCCACACAGGAGAGTCCAGAAGTATATGATTACTTTCAATGAACTATTGGGAGTACTGTTCCCACATTTCTGGAATGATAAACAACATTTCCAGTATTTTATTGAAACAGTACTCACACACTTCCTGAAATGGAATTAAAACAATCTTTTTTACAAGCTAGCAGTCACTATAATAGTATCCAATACTGACCATCCTCAAACTGCCCAAATTATTTTGTTGCTGGAAAGCTTATCAATGGTGTGGTCATACCTGAAAACTGAAGGCTAAAGACTGAGCGCTTCCATGCTCCGTGGCAGTTGGAGGGATAGGGCCCAGAGTTGTCTGGGACCCCAGAGCAAAGAGGCTACGCCGGGTAAGAACATAAGAGAAGCCGTGCTGGATCAGGCCAATCCCCAGCCAGTGGCCAAAAACCACGTGCCATCAGGAGGTCCACCAGCGGGGCCGGAACTCCAGCAGCTCTCCCCCCCCCGTCCCCCCCACAACCAGGTTCCCACGCTGCCCTAAGCAAGTGTACATGTCTCAGGAGGGCTACGAGGCCCAAAGGATGTGAAGTGATACCCTGACTCTGACATGCACGGAAATCACCTGCACCCCAGGCTCCAAGCACAAATACATGAAGCAAGTCTGGGTGCCTTGCCATTTCTGTCAAAGCCCACACTAAATTTCTTATACAGAAAATGGGATGGCACACAAAATGGAAAAGAATCCAACATTACGCCAGTATTCATTCAGGTGGGCAGCTGTGCTGGTCTGAAGGAGCAGAACGAAGTTTGAGTCCAATGGCACGTTTTTAAAAATTTTAAAATATAATTTTTAATTTTATTTAAATTTGAGTGCAAACAATTGAATTTCAACTACTAAACAACATACACTACAGCATTATATCTGAGTAACAAGACAGACAGGGTTACATAAACTTCAGAACAACAGACCAGGGGGGGTTGAGAGTACAATTATGATGGATAACTGGAATTTTGATTCCGCATAACCTGTGATAGGGGAGTTATTATAAAGACGTATCACTTGAGAATTACCTGAGAGTACCATATACTGGCATGTATATCCAATGGCACCTTTAAGTCCAACAAAGTTTTATTTAAGGTGTGCGCTTTTGTGCACAAACACACTTCCTCAGACTAACTGAAACAAGATTCCTTCATGCTCTGCATACAGGAAGAGGGGTGTGTGTGTGCAGAAACATCAGGAACGACCAGTCAGAGTTAAGATGCACAAGTGAAGATGAGATTGTGGTTTTTTGTCAAAATTTTTTTTATTTAGGATATAAACATTCATAATCAACATTAAATTGTTTACATTTGACCCTTTCATACCCTACCCACCTCCCTTTCCCCTCCCTAATATATGGCTTCCCACAGTGCTTCAACCTCCTGCCCATCTCTTTATTAATTTTTACAACAACAATTTTCTTTTTGTAATTCACTAGGTAACTATTATTTCACTATAGTAATTAATTTTTAACTTATCCTATCTCCCAAGCATTCTATGATTAATAATTATTAAAACTAAACAAATTGTCTTTTACTTCCCAATACTTTTCTAAGTATTCTTTTAGATCCTTCCAGTCATTATCGAAATCTTCTGCTTCCACATTATTCAACTTTCTTGTCAGTTTGTCCATTTCAACTGAAAATAATAATTTTTTAATCCAATCATCAATCTTCGGGACTTCTTGCTGTTTCCAATTCTGAGCATACGTCATTCTTGCTGTAGTTATCATATACCACATCAGAGTTCTCTTTGATACATTAACCTCTTCCATTTTTAGTCACAAAAGTAGTATTTCTGGTTCCTTTTTAAATGTACATTTCGTGAACTTTTCCATCTCTGCATGGATCTCACTGCAAAATTTCTTTGCTTTTTCACATGTCCACCACATATGGTAAAAAGAGCCCTCCACTTTTTTACACTTTCAACATTTGTTAGACATATTGATATTCATATTAGCAATCTTTTTCGGTGTCATATACCACCCATACATCATCTTATAGCAATTTTCTTTAAAATTATAACACTTTGATATTTTTAGTGCATTTTTCCATAAATACTCCCAAGATTCTATTGTTACTTCTGTGTTCATATTTACTGCCCATTTTATCATCTGCTCTTTAACCGTTTCATCTTCAGTATACCATTTTAACAATATTTTATACATTTTTGAGATACATTTTTTCCACCTTCCAAAAACAGGTTGCTTACCAGTAACTGGTGATCTTCGAGTGGTCATTTGTGCATTCACACCAATGGGGTTTAGTGCGCACGCGCTGAACCAACCGGTGCTGTAGCAAGCTCTCTTCAGAGGACTTTTCGCGCCCGTTTACCTCAGGCAAGCGCAGGAACTCAGTGTGCATGCCCAGAGGGGCGGGCGCGGACATCCCACCAGTTCCTTCAAGCGCCGTCGCGAAACAACCTCTGAACTAAAAATTAGAAGCTGTCAGCAGCGGGGAAGGAGGGTGGGTGGTGTGAATGCACAGATGACCACTCGAAGATCACCAGTTACTCGTAAGCAACCTGTTTATCTTCTTCGTGGTCTCTGTGCTTCACACCAATGGGAGATTAGCGAGCATTATCCTACCTGGAGGAGGGTGCTGGCAGGAGAATCATCGCTGAACGGCAGACAAAACGTGACGTCCTATGTTGGTATTTGTCTTGCGGACGTCGAGGGCATAGTGCCTGATAAAGGTGTTTGGCGTAGCCCACGTCCAAGCCTTACATTCATCATGGAGTGGAACACCGCTGAGGAAAGCAGTGGACGTCGCAAGGGACCGGGTAGAATGGGCCATGAGTGGTCCAGGCAATGGCCGTTTCGCTAGAAGATAGCAGAACCGAATCAGGCCCACGATCCACTTGGATAGTCTTTGCGCCGTAATACGGGTACCGATCCTAGACGAAGCGTACGACACAAAGAGGTGAGGATCGCGCCTCGTCGGCCGCGTTCTGTTCAAGTAAAACAGGAGAGACCTCTTGACGTCCAAGTTATGCAAAAGACGGTCTTCATCCGTCGTAGGATTAGGAAAAAAATCTGGTAGAATAACCTCAGCCTGCAGATGGAATTCCGAAACTACTTTGGGTAAGAAAGTAATATCGGGAAAAAGACGGACCCCATCAGGAAGGATAGAGAGGTAAGGTGGATCATGTCGAAATGCCAGAAGTTCTCCAACTCTCCTGGCAGACGTAATTGCTGTTAGGAAGGCTGTCTTCCAAGGCAGTAGTCGTAATTCACAAGTTGCCAAAGGTTTAAACGGTTTTCGTGTCAACTGACGTAAAACTAAAGGTAAGTCCCATTGAACGGTTGTGTGTTTAACTGGAGGGTACAAATGTAACAAGCCCTTGAGAAAACGTTTGGTGACAGGATGTGTAAACAAAGAACATCCATCGATTTAAACATGAAATGCAGACAAAGCAGATAAATATACTCTTAACGAGGAATGGGAAAGCCCCGAGTCAGCCAGGGATAGGAGATAGGAAAAAACTTTCTGTAAACAGCAGACACAGCTTCAGATGCGTCGGCCCCTATAAAGTTGCAAAATTTCTTCCATTTTCATTCATAAGATTTGCGTGTGGACGGTTTTCTCGCATTCAGGAGAACATGTGCTATGCGGTCCGAGAAGTGTGAGGTCGTATGTGCCAGGCCGTCAGCTTCAACGCCCCCACATCGTGATGAAGTACTGGTGAGTTTTCCAAACAAAGGAGGTCTGGGATCAACGGAAAGTGGTAATACGTTCCGTGAGACAGGTCTAGGAGCGTCGAGAACCAGGGTTGTCTGGGCCACCATGGGGTTATCAAAATCACGTTCGCACTCTCTCTCAGAATTTTGCGGACGACCCTGAAGATCAGTGGTATGGGAGGAAACATGTATAGGAGTTTCGTTGACCACGGGTAGAGAAGGCCATCTCCTAAGGACCCGGGACCTTGACTGCCCCAGCTGCAGAACAGGTGACACTTCTTGTTGTCTTTGGTCGCGAAGATGTCGACTTGGGGAGTCCCCCACCTCTGGAAGAGTGGTAAAAGGTAAACATACCTCAGCCCCCATTCGTGCAGGCTGAAACCAGAACGGCTTAAGCGGTCGGCTTGTAGATTTAGCCTTCCAGGTATGTGAGTGGCTACTAAGAATACGTTCTTGGTTCCGCAGAGGTTCCAAAGAGCTATCGCCAGATTGCAGAGACGATTTGAAACAGTGCCTCCCTGTCTGTTTATGTAGGATAGTGCCGTGGCATTGTCCGTAAGAATGGTCACACACTTTCCCCTCAGTGGGAGGAAGCTGGTTACAGCGTTGAAGATGGCTAAGAGTTCCAAGAAGTTGATGTGGTTCCGCCTCGTGATATCGTCCCAAATGTTTCCAACTGAATGACCCATGGCATGGGCTCCCCAACCTGTCATGGAAGCGTCGGTGGTAATGATGACTTCTGGGGATGGTGGGTGAAAAGGAGCCCCCTGAAGTAAGTTGGAGCGAAGCGTCCACCAACGTAGGGAGTCTCGAACATGCGGCGGTGGAGAGAGGAATACCCTGTGTGCGTCCAGTGGCGCAGAAACCAAAGTTGAAGGTGCCTCATTTGCAGCCTTGCGAAAACCAAGACAGCTGTTGTAGCGGCCATGAGACCTAACAGTCTTTGAATGGTGTGGGCCGAGGAAGTCTGGCTCGCACGAACTGAAGTCGCCAGCAATATGATGTCCTCGGCTCTGTCTGGAGGCAAGTACGCTGTGATTGTAGTTGAGTCTAAGATTGCTCCTATGTACTGGATTCTTTGTACGGGATGAAGATGGGTTTCTGGTAGTTTACCTTCAATCCCAAACTGGCCAAAAGAGAAAGGGTATCCCTGACGTTCGACCGTAGAATGGTTTCCGAGGGCGCGACTAGGAGCCAGTCGTCGATATACAGATAAATCGAAATCCCCTTGAGCCGTAGA